TTCAGTGTCACATCCAGCGGGCACGGGGGGTGGGGGGGGATTCTAACACCCAGGCCCTCGGCCTGCACAGGGGTCTGGAAAGCAGCCTGTTACAGGGACGGAGCACAAGCTTTGGAGAACACAGATCTGGACTCGAATTCCAGCTCTGCCACTTACTCAGCCTGTGTGTGTGCATGAGAGAGAGAGAAAGAGAGACAGAGAGACAGAGACCTTGAGCAAATGTCATCGCCTTATCGTAAGATTGTTTCCTGGCACATAAAGCATGCAGAATATCCACTCCCCACATCAAGTGATGGACCCAACACCACATTAGGCCTTTAATGCAGGAACACAGTGTACCTTCCCAACCGTCCCATGCTCCAGGAACGTGGGTTTCCATGTGGATCTGCCTCCTCCTTCTTAACGCCAGACCCCTCCCCGCTCACTCTCCCCGCCCCCCCCCCCCCCACGCCCTGCCGCATCTGATACCTCCCAGACCACTTAACTTTGGCCTTCAGCTTGCAGCAGTGCTCCTGGTTCATTTCTAGGATACCTTCTTGTACCTCCCGTTGTGCAATAGGGCGTGTTTGAAAAAATAGAAACCAAAACTCTTCACGTTAAGTCTTTTTAAGGGCAGCAGAGGAGCTGACATTTAGGAAAATTAGTGACAGATGCATTATCTCATAAATGAGAAAGGCTTTCATGAGAAGTAAAGTTTGAGTTCTAGCCTAAGACAATTTCTTAAGGGCAAAGTTATTTTATGTTTGCTTTTAATATAAACATGTATTACTTTTTAGTGGGGCAGTGGGAGGAGGTGGGAGGGGCTTCTAAATTGAAGGAATTAACCCCTAGCTTGACTCCTCAGAAACTTGACATCCCCGGTCCTCATGGAGCCGATTTCCCACCGGGGCATCATAACGAACAGAGGTGTGCGCCCTGGGAATCAAGAGCCCCGGGACCTCGGAGGAAGCCAGTATACTGTGGGAGGAGAGGGTCACTAGTCCCTTGATGTGGGAAGTAACGAGCTTGCAGGTCTCCCACCCAGAAATCCCTGACCATGGTAACAAGGCAAAGCAAGGGCACCCTGGTGTGCGCCCTGGGAATCAAGAGCCCCGGGACCTCGGAGGAAGCCAGTATACTGTGGGAGGAGAGGGTCACTAGTCCCTTGATGTGGGAAGTAACGAGCTTGCAGGTCTCCCACCCAGAAATCCCTGACCATGGTAACAAGGCAAAGCAAGGGCACCAAGTGGAGGAACCCAACCGCTTCCCTCGCATGGACTTCCCTGCCCCAGAAGACCCCACCGCATCAGAAGGCTGCAGCAATCAAGCGGAGAAAGGGTCTCAAGCATTCTTCCAGCCCATAAATGTCTGAATTCCCACTCTGGCTCACAGGAATGAGGAGGAAGGCGAGTTTAAGAGCCATATGGGAAGCAAAGGTAGCAGGTGGGACTTAGGGACACTCAGGTTCCTGGGATGGGTGGGTCAACCACCACCCTCGAGGTATGGCGTCCTCTCTTTTTTACCTAAATAACCTGGTGTCCAACAAGCAGTGGATAATCTTTCCCAAGGACAGCAGCGGCCACCGTATGTCCCAACCCTTCACGGTGGCAAGTATCACACTGTACGTACACCCAGAGACGCAAGCCTATCGCAGCCGCAGTAGTTCTTTCAATTATTAACTTCCAAAAACATTCCTAAGCAGAAAAACAACCCACAGAACATTAAAGGCGGACATTCCGGAGAACTGAGGGTCCGAAGCACCTCAACCCAAAAAGGTCAGCTGGCTTCAGCCCAGGGTCTGCTGGGAAGCCAAGGTCCATCCAGTATTTGCATGGGGTAAAAGGTGAAGTTCCCGAGAGGCAACAGAATGTCAGAAATCAACGAGCAGAACATACTCCTTAGTTGCGTTCATTAACAGACTTAAAAAACAAAAAAAAACCGCGACCTGTACAGACTAGACTATTTCTACAGGCATCAAAAAGACTGTTAGGGCGGCTGTCTCTGGAGCGGGGACCCGGGTGCGGAGGCCAACGCTGCGCTTTGTTCCCATATGCACCGCCTTCATTTTGGACCGTGTGCTCGTATTGCTTATCTTTACAACAGCAAAGTCCCCGCGGGGGGACTCAGGAGTGGCTCACGCCATTGGGGAAAAAGGGCCCCGTTAGAGGAAGGGACGGGGAATCTCTGAAACACTCTAAACACGCCGATTTTATTTTAAACCCAAAAAGCACCAGTTCTTCCGGAAGTGAAGCTGAGGCTTCCAGCAGCGGCAGAACCCCGGCCCGCCAGCCCTAACCACGCAGAGTGACTAAACCTCTTCCCCAACAAAGGAGAAACCGCTCCGAATCCAAGCGCAGAGCCAGCCCGGGCCGAGCGGGCGCGCGTTTCCGCCTCCCACCTTCCCACCGCCCTCGGAGCTCAGGCTGCGTCTTTAACTGCTCGCCTGGAACGCGTCCTCGAGGGCACCGCCCGCAGCTGCGGCTGGCGCGCCCCGCCCCGCCCCCACCGCGGGCGTCACGTGACGGCGGAGAAAAGTGGGGGAAAGGTCAACGCGAGCCCCGCCCCCGGCCTGGCGCGTCCCGGGCGCTCAGATCCTGTTCCGCCCGCCCGGCTCGAGAGACCTTCCGGAGCGAGCTGGCGCGCGTCGCCGGCGCTGCCGTCCTCCTCCCCGGCGACACGCAGCGCCTCTCCCTGGGAAGGACGAGCGCTGCGCGGCCAACGCTGGGGACAGTTACGGGCTTAGTGCGCCCGATGCCATCCCCCAGCGGCACGGCGCCCCGGCGCGCCCGAGGCGCGTCCGGAAGGGACTCGCTGCGGAGCCCAAGGGAAAATGAACAGTGTTTCTATGAATGGGCACGAGGGGCCAGGGTTGCGTAAGCGCGGGCCCTCCCCGGGGACTCCCCGGAGGCCCAGGCTTGACCGCTGGGTTACCACTGGTCCAGGGTCGGGCCAAGGACGGCAGCAGCAGGGACACCAGGTTTATTCCCTTGGCCTCTGGGTTAGGCCCCTTGTTTTCAGTGCAAACTCGAAAGGTTATTTTGGCCTGTGCATGATGCCAGTTTCTGCCACTCTGATACGAAGCATGTGCACTCCCAAAGATGGCCCTTTTCTCTGATTCATTCCAGCAGATGGGAGTTCAGCGTGCGAGGTCAGGTCTAGCAGTGCCTCACCGGAAGGAAACCGGTCCTCTGTAGGCGAAAGGAGCTCCCCCCACCTCCCCCCCACCCCCACCCCCACCCCGGCGCACAGAAGCAGAACCACCCAAAACCCGCGCTCTGAGGGCTGCATCCAGTTCGTATCAGACACGATGGCCCAGAGGACTCACAACCAGACACCGCCTCGCCTCAACGATCAGCACGCTCATCGGCATTAACGTCCTCCTCTGTCCGCCACACTTATCTCGAGTCACCTTAAATACTTTGGGAAGGCGGGGGGGGGGGGGGTGATGATGTTTGCTGGCACAAATAAAAGACCAGTGAGTTCGGCCATGTTTTAATCACTTGGTTTGAGGTTCGGAAGAAAATAAACACGCTTGAATATCTGGAATGACCAGAAACCGGACGCCGGTGCAAGAAGATGGTGTAACAAAATACGTTTCAAAAAGGTTAAACAGATTTTCATTTTATTCGGTAACTTACAAAGTTACCAGTTTCCCACAACAATCTGCCCTTAAAATAGTTTAACAACACAGGGAGCACGAGAGGAACCGAAAGCCTTGTCCTGAGTAGGGAGTACTGAGTCTGTTCTGTATTGAACCTGCTTAATTACTCGGGATTTTTAACCCTAAAAAAAGCAAGGTCGGGCCTCACCTTCGTTCCCTTCAGCTGGAACGAAAACCAACCGCCAATTTACATTGCAAAGACTCTGACCCACGGCCTTTCCGAACAAAACGAAAGGAACCGATCTGGCGGCAGGCTCGCCGAGGGAGCTGAAGTCAGGGGATGCGTCCGTCGGGGCCCGGGTCGCTCCGCCGCCCTGACCGCGCCGTCCGGGCTCCCGGACCAAGGGAGCCTAGGCCTGGTCACGTGACGCCCCTCCCCCATCCCCGCGCGGCGCCTCGGGGACCCGGCGCGACCTTGGGCAGACTCTCCGCGCCCACCTGCCCTGCGCCCAGCGCCGCACCAGGGGGTGGGGGGCGCTTGCAAGCGGGGACCCCGGCCGGGCGCCCCTATCTCGATCCCGGCGGGCTCTCGGACCGCGCCGGGAGCCCCGCGTCAAGGGCGTGTCCCGACGGCTGCAATGCGGGGGCAGCCGCGGGGAAGAGGGTGGACGGCGCACCGGGGAGTCCTGAGGCCCCAGAGTCCCTCCAGCTCCCGCTTGGGACCAGCCCGCGACCCCAGGACGGCCCCCCAGACCCAATCCACCCCCGGAGGGGGAAGGGATGCGGCGGGATCGAAAGGCGGTTGGTGGCGCCCCGCCAAGTCCAGAAGGCCGAGCATCCCTCCTGCAGCCTCAGCGACCCTCGGACGGACCCCCAGACCCAATCCATTCCTAAGAGAGGGGTGGGATGAGACGAAAAGGGAGCGGGCGTCCCTCGTGGCCCCAGGCCCGAGGCATCCTGCCAAATCCAGAGACCCAAGCATCCCTCCAGCTCCTGCACTGTACCGGCGGGCCGACCGACCCCTCGGGCGTACCCCCAGACCCAATCCACTCCTGGTAAATGGGAAGTCCCGAGCTTGGCGCATCCTGCCAAGTCCGGAGGGTTGAGCATCCCTCCCGCTGCCGCACCAAACCCGCACGGGAGGCCCCCGCGCAGATCGGCCCCCGGGCGGGCGCCCCCGACCCAACCCACGGCGGGCGGTGGGGAGTCCCCGCCGCGCTCCCATTTTGGGCTCCTGACGAACCCCGCCGTTCGGGGGGGGATGCTGGGGGTTCCCCTCCGCGCCGCTGTCCCCGCCCCCGCCCGGGTCCGGGCCCTGGCAGTCCCCGCGCGCCCTACCCTGGAAGCCGCCGCAGCCCGCAGGCCCGCGCCCGCTCGCCCGCCCGCCGTCCCCGCGCGCGCAGCCTCGGCCCAGCCTTACCGAGTCAGCGAACGGAGGCGCGGCGGCGGCGGCGGCGGCGGCGGCGGCGGCGGCGGCAGGGGAGGCAGCGCACTGAGCGCGCAGGGAGCGAGAGCCGGAGGCCGGAGGGCCACGGGCGAGGCGGAGTGCACCCGACGCCGGCCGCCGCCGATTGGCTGAAGCGTGCGGGGCTGCGGTGCAGGCGGGGCTGAGGCTCCCCGCGCGGGGCGGGGGGCGGGACCTGGACGGGGCGGGGCCTCGGCGGCTCCTAGGGGAGCCCGTCAGGTGAGGAAACTGAGGCTGCTGGGGGGCACGCCGCCTCCGCCTCTGCCAGCATGGGGCCCAGGGCGAGATTCCTCACCCTGGAGACTGTTTTCTCATCTGAAAAATGGGCCAACTCATTTGGGCCAAGCCCATAAAGGCGCTTAGCATGGTGCCTGGCTCAGGCTAGCCCTTTACAGCCATTGCCGCCTATAATCCTAAAAGCACCCCCTATAAATAGCTGATCCCAGCCGGGGCTGCGGAAGGATCACCAACTTAAGCACGATCACACAGCTAAGAAAATGGATCCGACGTTGGGGCCAGGTCTGAGTCCACAGCCCAAGCCCCAAATCGGACCTTATCCCTGGAGTGACAGCTGAGGCGATCCGGAGGCAGCGTGGCTCGCGGAGCCAACGCGCGCTACTGAGGATTCCGGCGACCGTTCTGAGCCTCCTCCTCATCTAACTGGGAGAAAAATACCTCCCTCGGGGGCTTTGATAAGATTTGGTAAATTAATGATTCAGGCGCCTAAACACTGTAGGTGCCAGGAAAGACATGCCTGGAGGTGGGGACAGAGTGACCGAGAGACCCTTGTGTGGGTCACTGAACTCAGGAGAGGGGCCAGGAGTGGCCACTGCTCACTGGCAGATCCCAGCAGTCTAGGCCCAAGGGGTGGGGGCGGGGAACAGGGCGCTCAGGAAAGACGGGGCAGTGTTTCCCCCCACCCCCACCCCCGCACCCTTCCCTCTCTTCATCTGCAGTGCTCCCAGGCCCTAGCTGGTGGCCCTGCATACAGCAGGTGCTCCATAAATGCACCAGTTTTATGAACAGAGACCTGGCTCTCCTAAAGGTCAATGACTTCTTCTGGCTATTAAAAATCCATGCTTGCGGCCATCTTTCGGTCTGTATTATTTGGTGATTACCACTGCAAAGTTCAGAAGAGAAAATGAAAGTTCCCTCTTGTTCCCGCCCCCCTCACTACCACTGCTGCGGTTAACTCTTGGTACACACTCTCTGGGCTGTTCTAAATGAAGTCATAGGACAGGTGCTGTTTGTAACACTCTTGTTTTCCCTTGGCTTATGTCGTGGACAGAGTTCCCTGTGGAGACGGAGATGACCTCCTCTTTCGCAGTGTTTAACGCGCCCCATGGACACTTAGACCCCCCTTTCACCATTGCAGGTATAAAAAAAACCTGCACTGGCTTGTTGGCGTGCCTCTTTGAGCTCTGATTTCTCTTTGCAGGAGCAACCAAGTCAGAGAGCAGGCGCCTGTGACATTTTGGTGACATATTGGTGTCACTTGCTGAGCCACCCGCAAAAAAGCTTACTAACATCTATTCCCACCGAGGCGTGGGAACTGAGCCGTCTCCAGGAGCTCATCAGCGCTGTCGGTCACTATCCGTTCTTTTCATCTTTGCCAATCTTAAAGGAGAGGGTGTAGATAACGCTCCTTATTTTAATTTGCATTTCTTTGAAGTTAGAAATTGGAGATTTCCTGCCGCTGCTGGCTCCTGTCTGGCCCCGAGGGGTCCCAGGCTGCGACGCCCTCCCCTTCCCTCCCCTCAAGATTTCAGGGCCCAAGAAAGCAGGTGGGCTGGGCCCAAGAAAGCACAGAGCGTGCGACTGCCCTGCACCTGCGTCCTCTGCTCCACAATCATAGCACACAGGCCTTCCTGGCTTGTGCCTTGGACTCTCACCCTCACCTCAAATGCCCTTCCCTCCTTTCCCTGGAACCCCGTGTGCAGGTCCCGGCCCAAGGTCACTTTCTTCTTCACTCGAGTCCTGCCGTGCACACCGCCCCCCCGGGATGAGTCCTGCACCCCGGATGTTCCCAGGGCTCTGCGGCCTTGGCTGGGCACCCCTCCCAGTGCGCCACCTCAGTGCCACCTGCAGGCCAGGCGAAGCAGGGGCAAGGGCAGGACCGCGGTCCGCGGGGCCACTGGGTCACCGCAATCCCCTGTGCCCCGGTGACTGGGCTCTCGGGCTGCCCTAAGCAAGCCCACGCCCGCCAGCATGCAATCCCAGCCAGAGCGTAGAGACTTCATCCCCCTCCCCGGGCTCTGCTCCCCGGGACTGCAGCTCCCCAGGGCGGCTTGGCAGCCGCTATTAACAAAAAGCCCAGGAACGAGGCCCCTGGGGAGCTCCAGGCCTGTCTGATCCTCTGGGCCAAAATATCTGAGTTGGCCTCAGAAACTGGAGTAATCTTTCTCAAGCTCTGGGTTTTTTTGTTTTGTTTTTTCAATTTTTTCCCTAGTTTGAATGGAACATACTGTAGCCGCTGCCTATTGTGACAGTAAGGAAACCTTTTTCTTTTTTTAATGCACCTACTCTACTGTCTTTATTATCACTAAGAAATCCCCCCCTTTTTTTACTCTAAAAATATCTTTTTATGGAAAAATTCAAGCATATAAAAATTAACGAGATCAGTATCATGAAGTCCTGGATAACCAAACAAAACAGGTTCAACAATTATTACTATTTTTTTTTTATTTTTATTTTTTTAAAGATTTTATTTATTTATTTGACAGGGAGAGACACAGTGAGAGAGGGAACACAAGCAGGGGGAATGGGAGAGGGAGAAGCAGGCTTCCCGCTGAGCAGGGAGCCCGATGCGGGACTCGATCCCAGGACCCTGGGATCATGACCTGAGCTGAAGGCAGTCACTTAGCCAACTGAGCCACCCAGGCGCCCTATTATTTTTTTTTTTTAGATATTATTTATTTATTTATTTGACAGACAGCACAAGCAGGCAGAGTGGCAGGCAGAGGGAGAGGGAGAAGCGGGCTCTCCGCTGAGCAGGGAGCCCGATGTGGGGCTCGATCCCAGGACCCTGGGATCATGACCCGAGCTGAAGGCAGCCGCTTAACCAACTGAGCCACCCAGGTGCCCCACAGGTTCAACAATTATTAAGCGAGGGCCAAACTTGTTTGTCTCTACCCCAGCCCTGCCTCTGGATTTCTTTAAAGCAAATCCAGAAATCCTACTGTTCTGTCCACACGTTCTTGAGTTACAGATCTCTAAAACATAAAGGTTCTTTTTTTTAAAAAATCCCCCCACACACACACACAAATTTTTCCCTCGATACCACTGTCCAACCTAAGATAGCAGAACAATTCTAATACAAAACCCGTAAGGCCCTCTTGGGCTGCCAGGAGTACAGCTGAGTTCCACTCTCCTGCCAGCCCGGTTACTTGCTGGCAGCTCCCAGGAGAGAGATTCTGATCCCAAAGCATGTGAGACTTTTTGGAACTCAGCTCTCGCTTCCCATAGGAAACAATTTTGTAATCCCAGAGTTCTGTGCTTCTCGCTCCTCTCCAGAGCTCTGAACCCCTTTGAACTTGAACCTTGAGCCGCTGTAGGTAGTGGGCAAACAGCAGGAGTCCCACGTCAGGTGGCGATAATATTGGCTCAGCCAGCATCACTGGGGTTTGGTGAGGACAAAATGAGGTAATGCAGATGCAAGCAAACTGGACCGACGCAGCTCGACCATGTGCCAGTGACAGGAACTCCTAGCAACAACCAAAGGTATTCTTAATTAAATAGGCTTGCTCTATGACCCAGTAATCCTGCTCCTGTGCATCCACCGGGAAGACAGGAGAGCACATGTCCGCGCAAAGACTCCTGGTATAGGAATGTTTACAGAAGATTCACTTAAAGGGACAAAAATCCAGGAACAACCCAAATGGCCATCAACATAAAATGGATAAATACATTGCAGTTTTCCATAGAGTGGAATAATAAGTAGCAAGAAAAAAGAAGAAACTGTTAACACCCGCACACAAGTGGACGAATCCTGCAGATCTTACGTTGCGTGAAAGAAAGCCAAACACACATAATATTTCTGTGCTGTATGATTTCTACAAGTGGTGCATATTAACTGCAGTGATGGGTACTGACTGAGAAACACAGGAAGGAGCCCACGGGGGCGCTCAGTGGGGTAATGTGAAAATTCAAGGCTCTGTATGTCTAAGATGATGCACTTGCTTCTTGCTACCTGCGTGTTAGGCCTCAATTTTAAAAATTAAAAATTAAGGGGCTCCTGGGTGGCTCAGTTACTTAAGCGTCTGCCTTCAGCTCAGGTCATGATCCCAGGGTCCTGGGATCGAGTCCCGCATGGGGCTCCCTGCTCAGTGGGAAGCCTGCTTCTCCCTCTCCCTCTGCCCCTCCCGACCCACCACCCACCCCCGCTCCTGCTCTCTCTCTCTCTCTCAAATAAATAAAATCTTAAAAAAAATTAAAAATTACAAAGTTGGATCACCTGGGGAGACAGCAGTGTTAGAGGGGAGAGGAGGAGAGGCCGCTCTTGCTGGTGCAGGAAGAGCAGCAGGGACAGTGTCCAGAACCTGGGAGGTGGCGAAGCTGCGGGCAGGAGTGGCAAAGTGCACACCCCATCCCCTCGCCTTCCTCCCCACTCCTCCTCCCTGTCCTGCTGCACACGCCTCCCCTCCAAGTAGCCAGCGCCCCGATGGGCCCGTTGTAGGCACAAGGAAGGGCGGCCGAAGTTCGCCTTCCTGGGGAGGCATCACAATAAAGAAGAGCCATGGCCAGGGAGTGGGTGCGCCTGGCCACCAGCCGGGGTCCACCGCTGGCCGGCTGCGTGGGCATCTCAGTCCCCTGTCTGGGCCTCAGTTCCCTCACTTACACAGATGAGGACGTGGCCCTCGCTCAGCACTAAGCACAACCTTCTCACCACTGCTGCTTCTATCCAGAAGCAGTAATTCTAGTGGCTTTGGGTTGTGAAGTCCAGAACCAGACGGCCTGGGTTAAAACCCTGACGCTCCCACTCGCCCCACTGAGTGATCTAAGCTCTCTGGGTCCTCATCTGTAAAATGGGGAGAGTAATGGAAGCGGTCTTGGAGAGTCTGAATGAAAATGACATGAGGGGGATGCCTGGGTGGCTCAGATGGTTAAGCATCTGCC